AAAATTATATTATGTGGTGATAGGATCATGAAAGTAGTTTTTAGACCGTTTACGTGTTTAAGTTAAAAAAAGTGAAATGCATCTTAGTTGGGCTTTTATTTCAAATATTGTTTAGATGAGCTTTTTAGCCATTAGATCTTTATGTTACTACCCACTACTAATATTATATATGTGCTTTCACTGAGAGATGAACAATTATCAATGAAATGAAATATGTTATTTTAAATTTCTTAGATAGTTTTATTTCTCTCTCTTTTTTATTTTAGAAACCTTAGTTTCATAGTCTTAGGAAAAACTTTCTATCAATTGTTACTCTCATTTTTTATCTCACTTTCATTTGAACTCGTGAAAATATTATTGTTTGATGGGAAAGATGAGGCCTATTGGTGGATTCTTTGTTTTGAGAAATTTTTCAAGGAACATGGAACACCATAGTCATTGAAGGTGTTAAAAGCGATTGAAGCATTGAGAGGTCGTGCTTTCAAATGGTGCCAATGGCGATCTCAATATCACCCATTGATATCTTAGAATACGTTCACAAAAGTGTTTCTTTGGCATTTTAACCTGAATGGAAACATCTTTTTCTGGAATTAGATGAAGAAATGGAGTCAACTTATACATCCGTAGAACCTGTAGTTGCAACTTCCCTTCCTGAAAATTTTGCTGATGATAAATTTAGAGATGTGACTTTAACAACTATTGAAGAGAGCCAAGAAAAATTATCGAATATGCACAGAACAAAACCAGAACATCCATCAGAAAAAGAAGTAGGGCACAACCTTCTACCACTAATTGAGGAGAAAAGGGAACCACTTGATGAATCGTTGAAGTTCGAAGAGCTAATTGATTTTCTTGATGATAATGTTAACAATATCCCTAATATTATACAGGAAGAACCACTGGATCTGTATAGGGCACAAGTGGAGCCACCAAATCTATATAGAGGACAATCACCATTATTTGCTGAAGAGTCTGGTTCAAAGTTAGCACCTGTTTCTTTCATAGCACCTGACGAGTTTCTCACCTCCACGACTCATATCGTGTTGTAATCCTTTGGTGCTATAAATAATTTAGACAAAGACGGATGCAAATAAGGGTTTGGGAATTACAAAGTTGTGAATTCAACTCTAAGATTTAGCCCAACATCAAAAAAGACCTAACTCACTGATGGATCGGTAACATCTCCACCACCATTGAATCCATACGATTTTAACACTTATGGTGCTGACCATGTGTTATTGTTGCCGAGAGAGTCAACAAGACCCAAAATTGTAGTGCATGCTTTGATCTCTAACACAAAACCATATGACCCAGGCCCACTCAAATCACAAGCCTTAACTATGGCTACATATGTACCAAGGGTGATGGATACCACATCTTCTAATGATTCTATTGTACATCATCCACGAAATAAAAGCTCTTTATCTCATTGGCTCCTTTTACTCAAAGGCTTACTACGAGGTCTTCTCATGCTACATCACATGTTGCATCTGAGATGACAAATAAGGATACTTGGTTGACTGATGCTTAAACTATTCCTTATCGAGAGTCATCTCATGAAATTAAAAATAACATTAATGGTTCCCTAAGGCAATTTTTTGAAAAAGCTTCACAGTATAATGCACTGGGAAATACTCAACATGCTTTCATATCTGGCTTTCCTTTATATATGATCCATACACAAAATCAGAATATGGCTAGTCTTGGAGGACAATTAGCAAATCCTCAATGTGATAGTGCAAGTCATGTTGATCGAATGGGTTCCGCTAATCAAAATGATGAATATTGTGAAAGAGCTCAAATAAGTCAATTTCCTTAGGACTTTCCCATACTTGAGTGGTATAACCCAAACAATGAATCCTCTAACAACCCTAAACACCACTAGAGTATCCTCCAAATAAGAGGTCATCATCATTGCACTTTTTTAGAAAGCAAAGATATATTAACATAAATAAATATTACTATTTAACAATTTGTAAACCGGCTGTTACTAGCAATAAGAAGTTAAAACCACACTTCACCATGGTGGTCACATCATTAAATTTCCCAAACTAAACGCCACCCACATACACTGAGAGTGTTAGCTTATGATTAATAATAAACTCGTAAATAAAGTAGGACAACACGTTGTCTTGCTAGAGATATGGAAATAAGCGCATTAGAGATAACCGAATTGACGAAAGGGTGAAAATACATATGAAATTCACCAAAAATGACATTTCTCTCCTCTTTGGTGCGAGCATCCATCAACAATGGGGGGTTACATTAAGTCATTTCAAAAGTTTTCATGAAACCTCGTCCTGAGGAGTGACGTCCCCGATATAACCCAACTCTTTGAAGAAACCAACCAACTGTCTCTTCTGATAAAGTTCCTCCTGAGACAGATCTTCTTCCATGTAGATGTACAATCCATTTTTCGTCATGAAATGACATTTGTTCAAGTACTTGGGAAATAGGTCGGTACATCTGTCTTCCACGCCAGTCCCTATGGTACATATTGTTGCATGCATGTCTTTATGAAGAGGTACAACAAGGAAGAATCTATTTTCGAAATGCTTCTGGCTCTCCGAAAACATTACGAGGTTGCGAACAACCTACAATAGATTAATCAAACATAGCCCCGTGCCTGGGCCGCGGAACTATGTTGTACCTTAAAGAGAAGGAAGAAAAAGGATGGAGAAGGTTTCACAAGTCCGAGAAAAATCTCAAGAAAGCTCTTTATCTCTATTGATATTCGCACCAGTACAAGAAAACTTTAATATACACCTAACTAGGAGGGTGCAGTTGCACTGGGGAAACTATCAAGTGATTTAAAGGGAAATTGAAAACCCATGATAAAAAAAGTAAATTTATAAAAAGGAATGACACATTCTTCATACTCGCTATAGATTCTCTTTTATTCATCAGGGGTCAATACGCCCCAATCTAAAGATAGACCTACATCTAGAAAGACTCCGTCAAGATCACCCTTTAAAATAAAGATAAAGAGAGTTAACGAAGATGCATGGTCAAATCAGAAGGCAGAAGTATCTTATTTTGATTTTCGACTCATGATGGACACTACTTTCTTCAAGTGCAAAAAAGGAAAAGTGTTATAGAAAATGTAAATGACCGAAAAACAAAGAAACATCTTAAGAAAAATGCAAAACTGACTCTTCAAGAATCATGTGAAGACTTACTAAAAGTAATAAACCCTATCAATGCTCCAGATCGCCTAAGCAATACACTTCATTGTCTCAGTTCCCAAAGGTCATTACGATGGAATCTATAAAAAGATGTTTGAAGCATGAAGTGCATTAAAGACGTGATTTCCAAAAACATTAATGCCATCTCTTGACTCTCCACAAACGGGGCGAATACGACAAACCGCATCACTGCCAAGCAGAGACGAGGGCTTCGGGGGCAATTGTTTTGGGTCGACCTGAACTGCCATTGACCGCGGCCTAGAGAAAGCAATGATTCGTTCAATTGCTCGCATCACAAGGGAATTACCATGAGAAAGAGCACATGAGATTCAGGGTCAAGATACATTCATTATATAAATGGCACACGCACCAATTTCAAATACACCATCCACACTGATGTCAGATACACAATTTCAAATTCAAACTTTATTCACTCATTTTCATTCACATACTGATTTAAGCGTTGAAGTGATAACCTTGCATGTCAATCTCACATCCACTACAGGGTCTCAGATCCCCATTACACACCCCAAACCCTTATTCTCTTATTAATTCTAATTTCATAACAAAAAAACACATATAAAAGACTAAATTCAATTATTGAATTATTGTTATAAATAAAATAAAAATCAATAAACAATTCCCAAACCATCGTATGCATTAAAAAAAAAATTATAATCTGTATAAACAATTTGGTTCAAAATCATATTTTATATGCCATTTTTACTTCTATTCTTTGTTTTTAATTATTATTTTTTAAATCATTCATTTATAAATATCAATAAATATTATCATCAAAATTATAATATACAAATATAAATAAATATTATCATTACAATTAGATTATATATCATCACTTTCCATTTATTTAACTCAATTACATGTCTTCATCTTTTAATATATAAATAAATAGTCCGATTTTATAAGATCTTTTTCTAATTTCGATTTTAATTATGATTTTTTCAATAACACTATTAAATTCCATGCCTATACTACATCGTTTCATAAGACTTTTATTTTTAATTTCCACGTTTATTTGTAATTTTTCCCAAACAATATTCTATACTTATTCTTAAAAAACAAAAATAAATAAAGTTTAATAGCTATATATTGACATTATAAAATAATTTTACACTTTTATTTAATAAAAATATATTAATTTATCATGTTATACAATTAACTTTACACTTTTATTTAATAAAAATATATTAATTTATCATGTCATACAATTAACTTAAAGTTTAAATTTATATTAATTAAATTCAATAAATAAAAAATCAATACTATTTAAGGTTATGTTTTTTCTAAATTAACTTATTTTTGTATTTTTATCCGATTTAATTACTACACATTAACAGTATAAAAAATTTTATATTATTTAAATTATTAAAATAAAAATCAAGCTTCTTCATTACACAACTATATTCAGTAACTGCTAGTATAATCTCTTTTATTAAAATAAAAATCAAGTTTCTTTCTTCATTCCACAACTATATACAGTAAGTGCTAGTATAATTTATTTATTCCTCTAATTTTACTTTTGTCATTTACTTTTAAATTCAAATAAAAAGTATTATAAGGCACAAAGAAAAAAAAATAATAATAAACAACCATTTTCATCGCCGTTCATAATTTTATATTCTATAATTTCCTTTTATCTAACCTAGTCCAAATAAAAGGAAACAAAAAGTAGTAGCTGAACAATAAAAATTAAAAGATTTACATGTCTAAGAAATTTAAAAATCTCATTAGATAGATTAATTAATTAAAAGGAAATTTCCTTTTCCTTTTTTTAACTTTTTTTTTTCATGATTTCTATTGTGCCGGCAAGGTTCCGTGCCGCCACGAGTCAGAAAACTCGTTCGAGTCATAATACACATCTGAATGGTTAAAAATCCCATCAAACGAGTCATAACCAAAACCTCCAAATCCGTTTCCTAAATCAAACGAGTCATAACTCGGGATCCGATTCTCAAACTCCCATAACTCACCGATCCCGGACGAGTCAGACAAAACTCGAGCCAAATCAGTTTCATCTTTTTTCTCTTCATTAACAACTTCATGAACCGAAGGATAACCCGGTGGTGGAAGCCCGAGTTCGTCGTCAGAAGCTTCTAGAAGATACCCGATCTGAGCCTGAGACTCACCGGAATCTGACGTCACACGAACGGAAGTAGAAGAAGACGCAGAGATCTCCTCCTGCAAGCTCTTCATAACAGAATCAAGCTCTTGCATCGAAGGAGCTGAATCGGAATCGTTCAAGAACTCGAGTAAATCGTCTCTGAGTTTCTTTGCCTCGGACGATTCAATCTCTGACTCGGACGAGTCATTACGTAACCGCTTCTTGCAACTGTTTTCATCAGCCATTTTTTTATTTATAAAAAATAAAAGAGAATTAAAAAAAGAGAGAAAGAGCAAAACGGTGGCGTTTTATAAGCTTGTGTGAGTTTGAACAAGAGTTGACACGGTGGTAATGAAGAGAACTCGAAGGCTTTATATATAAGGGGGACAATGGAGAGAGAAAGAGAGAGGAGAGAGAAAGTAATGATGCTGACGACGCAGGCGCGTGGGACCGAATTTTCAGCTTATCAAACAACATTGATTTTTTCTGTTTTAAAATAATTATTCACTTTTTTTTTTTCTATTTTAGTTTTTTAAAAAAGGAAAATAAAATACCAGTGGCTGCTTTTTCCTATTTTAAAATATTCAATTGAGTTGAATTATAAGTTGGAGTCCGGGTCAGTTGGCGTGGGACCCACAAGCCTAGTCAATCACGACTTTGATGCTTTATTGTTTAAGAGGAAAACTAAAGAAGGGTTAGTGAGAGGGTATTTTGGGAATAATGTTTTTTTAAATGGGGTTGTTTTATTTAGTTAGTGTTTTAAATTGGTTGGATGAAATTGAATGGAATAAGATTTGATAAGACATGAAAACCGCATTAGGAATTAGAAATAGTGGTTGATTGGAATGGGCAACAAGAAAGGAAAGGGAAGAAAAATGGATGGGTGGAGTGGAGTGTTGTGAACGTTAATGATGTTTGTATTAAAAATATTTGTGATAATGTTGCCCACTATTGTTGCCTCAATCAATGGGTGTACAGATACACTAATCTCCTTTTTCCTTAAAAACTACTTAAGGATATATTTTTTAACTAGGTGGTAGGGCTGGAAATGAGTCGAGTCGAGTCGAACTCACCTCAGCTCGGCTCGACTCGTTAAGAATTGTTCGAATTCGAGTTCGAGTTCGAGTTCGACACGAACTTTTTTTTAAACTCAAACTCGACTCGTTATAAGTTCACGAACAGTTCGGTTCGACTCGTTAGGTTCATCTCATTAGGTTCATCTCACATGGTTCACGAACTTAAAAACTATTTTTTTAAATATATATATTTTTTAGTATATTTGACATTTTAAAAAAATATATATTTTTTAAATAAAATATTAAAATAAAATAAAAGTTATCATAATGAAATTTAACTTTATCTTTGAAATCTACTAATTCAAAACCTACACAACTTTCAAGAGATACATTTAAGAGTCTAATTCAAAAACTACTAAATTGAAGATTAAATTTGTCTAAGATTTGAAGTAAATATTTAAACCTAATCTTAAAGACAGTATAATTCTTTTCATATGTAACCGAGTTGACTCATGAACCTAACGAGTCGAACTATGTATAGTTCAAGTTCAGCTCATTTAGTTAACGAACTTAATTTTTCGCTCATACTCAACTCATTTGGTTCATGAACCTAGTTCAACGATTTAATTGTCGAGTCGAATTTCGAACTATCTTCGAGTTGGTTTGGTTCATTGCCAGCCCTACTAGGTGGCAAAACATATTAAATCTGAATCACAAATCCGTTTTGTTCGTATTTTAATACGGAGGCCGATTAAAAATTTAGATAAAAATATTAAAGTCTAAGTCTAAGTCTGATCTATCAAAAATACTAAAGTCTAAGTCTGACATATAGTCCGTCATAAATTTATTTTTAAGTCCGAGTCTAACATTTTTTAAGATTTGATTAACTTGTTAGCCTATATAAAAGCATTGTTATTTTAAATAGACTAATTAACAAACTAAAAAACCAATAATGACTTATTTTAACTTACCTATTAGCATAAGTTTTATAGATTATTTATTTAAGATAATTATGAAAATAATTTATAAATTGTTTATAAGGTGTTTTCATTTTATTTTTATAATTTCTTCTAGATAATCAATTTTTATTTATGTATTTTAGTTCAAAATACAAAACATAACACAATGATAATAAAAAAAATTATTTATGTTTATTTAAATAGATCAATCTATTAGGTTTAAAAGATTTTTTTTCATAGCATGAGATCTAGTATTTTTAACTACATAAGCTTATAAAAAAGTCTAGATCTTTTGTATTAAAAAAAAATTTAGCCTAATATGAATCAATGTAAGTTAGGTTGTAGATTCCTATTATCAGTCTAGCATATTTTTACCTTTAGTCTCACTTTATCTTGTTTTGTCGCAGACTTTAACAAGTAAGTCCTAATTAAAACGAGCATACATGTTTGACACCCTTAATTTTAACTCTCATCTAGGGCTGGAAATGAGTCGAGTCGAGTCGAACTCACCTCAGCTCGGCTCGACTCATTAAGAATTTTTCGAGTTCGAGTTCGAGTTCGAGTTCAACACGAACTTTTTTTTAAGCTCAAACTCGACTCGTTATGAATTGTTTCGAGTTCGAGTTCGAGTTCGAGTTCAACACGAACTTTTTTTTAAGTTCAAACTCGACTTGTTATAAGTTCACGAACAGTTTGGTTCAACTCATTAGGATCAGCTCACATGATTCACGGGCTTAAAAACTATTTTTTTTAATATATATATATTTTAGTATATTTGACATTTTAAATAAATATATTTTTTTTAAAATAAAATATTAAAATAAAATAAAAATTATCATATTGAAATTTAACTTTATCTTCGAAATCTACTAATTCAAAACTTACACAACTTTCAAGAGATACATTTGAGAGTCTAATTCAAAAACTACTAAGTTGAAGATTAAATTTGTCTAAGATTTAGATTAAATATTTAAACCTAATCTTAAAGACAGTATAATTATTCTCATATGTAATCGAGTTAACTCATGAACCTAACGAGTCGAACTATGTAGAGTTCAAGTTCAGCTCATTTAGTTAACGAACTTAATTTTTCGCTCATACTCAACTCATTAGGTTCATGAACCTAGTTCAACGATCTAATTGTCGAATCGAATTTCGAACTATTTTCGAGTTGGTTCGGTTCATTGCCAGCCCTACTCTCATCCACTTTTTATATTTATATTTTTTATATATATTTGTAGTTTTTTTTAATATCATTACAACATTTTTTTCAAATTTTCACATATAAGTAGGTCCATGGGGTGGCAAGTGAGCGGCTGCCTCAGACTTCACATTCTTTTAAGCCTAAATTTATTATTGTAGTTTAGTTAGTAGTAATAATTTTGTAGATATTAATTATTTTATATTATATAGAATAATATTTTTTCATAAACTTTGTTGCAAAAGTATTCTTTAAAAAGTATTCGTGCTTGTAATGTATTTAATGTTTATTATTATGGTGTTTAATATTTTTAAAATAATTAAATTTTAAAATTTTCTAATTTATTATTGTTAGATTTTAAAGAAATTATTTTAATTTTCATCTTATGCTTATAGATTTGTTGGGTAGAAATCAAGCTGGCTATCGCATGGGTCAAATAATATTTTTTTTAGCAAATATCATTTAATATTTTTAGGCGTGGTCAAATTATTTAAAATACTAGTCGTATTAATTTTTAAATTAGAAGTTAGATTTAAAAAATATACAAATTTATAGAAGTACTCGTGTATTGCATGCTTCGCACGACATGGTAGTTATTATTATTAAATTTAAATGACCATTGTTTTATTACATTGCATGCTGTCACGTGTTTTTTATATTTTTCCTTATATCAACTCAAAACTAACCTTCATTGGCTTTGTTTTAAATTTTGAAATAAGATTGTTGTTTTAAATTTTAATATTACATTTTATAAAACTCCTTAATAAGTTATCATCATCAAAACCAATTGACGATTATAACTGCAAGCATATAGATTCACGTATTTCCCCTTTTTTAATAAGTCAATGCATCTCTCATTGATGTGGTAAACAAAGAAAATATAGGGTAAATATTTTGAGTAATTAAAATCCACCTCACATATAAAGAGAGTATACTCTACTTCCTTAAGAGTATACTTCTACCCCTTTGAAATAAACAAAAAAGGAGGATAACATTTAAACACAAACACATTTGTTATAAAAGTAGGAGAAAAATCTCTAAAGCATGAAATAGGACATAAATCAAATATAACTACTCGTTATCGATATTTTCATCAACATAAGGCATTCTATTCTTAACTGCAAACTTTGTTAGAAGGCCGACTTGCTTGGTCAATCTTCTGAGAACATTGTCATTCTCTGGGGATTTTGAGAGGATGGAGAATAACATTGCTTCAGACAAACATTGAAGAAGTTTCTGATCATTATCTTCCAAACTTGATGGCTTATGTTTCAAGTCTCCATTAACAACTCACAAATTTATCTAACTTAGACAAAACATCTTAATCAAATAGGGATTTGATTTTAAGATTTCGCCCTCCAAGTTAACACCAACATCAGACATGACTTTGGTGATTAAATGTCCACATGATAGCCATGTTGATTTACTCCTTTTGAAATCCATCATGTGAAACATAAGTCCATATTTCTTTTTGGTTAGAATATTCTGAGTGAGAAACCATATGAGCACCGCATATTTCTTTAAAAGCTTTTCATGAATTATGGAACAACAAAAAGCCCAACAATTTTTTGGTTTTATTTGTTTTATGCTCAATAGTAAAGACAACTTAAACAAGTTTGATTCTAAATCTCAAAAGTGTATCATGTTAGGATACTTTGAATGCTCTAACGGCTACAGAGTATATAACATTGAAACCAAAATTGTTGAGGAATCAATTCATGTTAAGTTTGATGATAAGCTTGCCTTTGAAAAGTCAAAGCAAGTAAAAAAGTTTGCAGATTTGGAAATTATCTATTCAAATTCTATAGACAAGGACTCTGAGGATAAATACTCTGGAAATGCTCAACATGAAACTGAACAATCAGCATCTCATAGAAAGTACAAGTAGAGATCCTTTCACTACTACAGAAATTATTTTTGGCAGCGCATGAAAAGACATCGCTTTTTGAAAAAGCGCAGCTAAAGAGTCAGGAAAAAAAAGAAAAAAAATAGTAGACTTTAGACAGCACTTTTAGAAAAGCGCTGCTAAAGGTGGCGGTTATTGTTAACAATAGAAAGCGCTTTATAAA